ACTGCTTTTTGACTTGAGATCATTAGGAAGCAGCAAAGGGTCATGGGGAAGTATTATGCTAAAATATCTTTCTTTATGGAGACAGTGTCTGTCTCTTCGTTTCAGGATACATGATGGGGAGATTAAACAAATGCTGTTTACAAAAAATAATATAGAGAAATGGATCTCATAGGATGTTGTGTTTATAGGACTGCTGCACAGAGAGTTCTACACTTCAAAGAGACAATGCCATCTAGAGACTATCCCAAAGAATTGACAGGAGTGATGGAAGAAGAGCGCCTTTGAGCCATGCCGCCATGTAAGTTCTCCTCAGAATTTGAAGGCCTGCTCTTTCTAGCCTTTCCTTCTACCATGCTCCAGACAGAAGTGCTAGAAGCAAGGGGTTTGAGAGAAGTACATTATTGCCTCAAGATATAGAATATCCAACACTTGGGTCTATAATTCTAACATAATCTGCCAGGATTTCTGCTATAGCCACAGAGATGCAGACTCTGTAACTCTAGGGTCTGTCATGCAGAGGAACTATGGCATGGGTGCTCATGGCATGGGTGCTCATTTATCAGCGCACTTACACCCAAGGTGTAGACACTGATGCCTCAAGATGTCCATGCTTTGTCCCAAGCTTCACAGTGAAGTACAGGCAGTGTCCGGGTTACAAACCGAATCCATTCCTCAGTGTATCTTTGAGTTGAAATTGTAAGTGAAGTCAGAACAAGTGCATACAGTTTTTATGAGCAAGAAAAGGCTTGTACAGGAAGGGAAGGTCACTGTGAACGTTGCAAGAATGTGTGAGTATGGGTTGATTCAGTCATTTCAAAACCCAGCCTACTGCTGTCGAGTAGATTCCAACTCATAGTGACCCTACAGGACAGACTAGAACTGCTCTCTCGGGTTTCCTAGGCTGTAAATCTTCATGTAAGTAGACTGCCACATAGTTCACCCAAGCAGCTCAAAGTGTAACCCACTACACCAGCAGGATTTCCATCATAATTTCAAAGTGAGGACAAATCTACAAGACATTAAAGGGTAAATACCAATCATGGTGTTGGAGGAGAATATTGAAAGTACCATGGGCTGCCAAAAAACCAACAGATCTGTGTTAGAAGAAGTGCAGCCAAGAGTGCTCCTTGGAGGCCAGGATGGCCACACTTCTTCTATCATACTTGGGACATATTGTCAGGAAGGACCAGTCACTGGAGAAGGATATCATGTTTGGTAGGGTGGAGGGTCAGAGAAAAAGAGGAAGACTCCCAGCAAGAAGGATTGGCAAAGTGGCTGCATCAATGGGCTCAAGTGTGGCAACAATTGTGAGGTTGGCCCAGGATCGGGCAGTGTTTCATTCTGCTATGAGTTAGTACAGACTCGATGGCACCTAACAACAACAACAACCAATGGTAAGTCAGATGTTTGTAACGGGGCAAAGCCAAATTCGGACCGAACTCTTCTTTCTCCAAGACCTTACCATTTCTAGGCCCACTTATTAGTGGCCTTTATTATGATGGAGGGTTATCTTTTCTCTTTTCAATTACAATTAAGAATTCTATGTCCCCCAGGCTACACCATTCACTCGCCTGGATGAAATCTATAGTATTGGCCTTGATCCCCAAGCTCAACAGTTGAGTTTTAGTCCATTTGGACAAGAGTTCTATAATCCCTGGGACACCTGTTCCCAGATCACTGTGGGCAGTTTCTGGAGAACAGAATTATGCTTTTAAGAGAAAGTGATTCCAAGAACAAGCAAGATGGCGGATCAGGTGGAAGTGCAGTAAGGAGCTCTGTCA